TACAATAATAACATAATAATAATAATAATAATGATATCAAAATTCACGTAGTAGGAAAAATGTTCATAACGTAATGAGTTTGAAATAATAAAAACAAATAATAGTTGCAACTTTTAAAATTTTTTGCTTCAATAAATAAATTTTTTTCGATTTATCCCTGTCAAAGTTTTACTATGATGACGAAAAATTAACAGAACCAGGGTCCTGGTTTTATTTGATAAACCGGTTTGCATAATCCTAAACCTATGATGTGACTACTACCATCTCTACCTATTAATCTTTTATATGTATGCAAATAATGCAGCACATAAATATCTAAAGGTCATAATTCTGTCTTTTGATGTTAAAAAAGAATTGGAAGAAATGGACATGATTCCGGGTCCAGTCATTCTCACATTGGCTCAAGATATGCTAGATTGTTCAATTAGATCCACTAGCAAGGTAGGTGACGATATCTCACAAAGTTTTCTCTTGTGGACTAATCTAAGTGAAATTAAAGGATTACTCAAGGCAATGTTCCTATTCGAATATTCTAAAATTACTTTATTTAGGAAGATTTACATGTGATGCTCGTAATAGTGATTAACTCGAGGATATTGGCTTTTGTGATATAATTTTTGAAAAAGAATATGACATCGATTTTACATGATATTTACTATTTATGTTTTGTAAATGACCCTTTTTGTTGTGGTCCTTGTGGGTTAAACTTTGCATAATAGTTGCTATGAATCAATCGAGAGTGAATTATATGATAACAACTTCATAGAATAGTTTAATCCTCAGTGTTATTATAAAAATTTATATTTGATCAAGCAAGCATTTGGAAAACACGAAGGTTGTAATTTTATATTATTTTTGAATATATCTATTTTGATGAGTATTATTTATTAACCAAGAGGAAGAAGTGTGGTGATTGTGAGTTCAAACTCCCCAAAATAGAAAATTATGCATATGTAAAAAGAACTACCAGATAAAGATGAATTCGGTATTGAAGAAATTGGGAGGACAGTTAGCAATTATAATTCCAATTTGTGGAGCAAATATTTTCACATAAGAATCCCATTAAAACAAAATTGAGAAACTTATTGATGTTCCATGTTATAACAAAAGTTAAGAGTTTTATACTTGAATCATTTTGTCCCCATGCACAGTTGAGATTATTCGCAAAAATTCATCCATAACTGATATTATTAATTCATGTTGTCCGAAAACAGTACAGTTTTTCATTAATTCTGGATTAAAAAACGAACTATAATAATAACATGTCATCTTCATACGGTCCATTGTTCATTACATTCAAATGGCTGAGCTGCTAAATAGAGTTGGTCAAAAAACCCCTTCAAGCTTGGTTCTATTTCTTGGAGCAATCTTTGTATTTCATCAAAATCATATATAGGACTTTCATGGCTCTAGTGAGATCAATCTTTTCTCTTACCTCTTCCCCTTCCTCTTCCCCTTCTGCATCTGTGGTTTTTACTCTCCTAGGTTCTCTTTTTAAAAGATTTTCTACAAAATTCATATAACAAATGTTACATAAAACAACACATTACTTTCACTAAGTTGTTGTTCTCAGCTTCTTTCCATTTATTGCCTTTCGTTGATGAAATTTAGCTGATTCAGTGGTTTTACATTCTGTGCAATGTTTAATTTCAGACATTTTTTCTTCAAGTAAATCGTATTATGAAAGTTGTGGGATTCAAAGGGATTCAAAAGATATGATAACAACAAAGTGTAAAGCTTCAAGTTTGTGTAATTATTTACACATGATTTATTGCAAGAATGGGCTACATGATTCCCTTGTAAAAGTATTTTAAACTGTATAAAAAAAATTGAAATCGATTGTGAAAATCCATTCCTTATATAGGACGGTCTCTCCTGTTCATTGCTGGTCATCGGATACTGTTGCAGATCACAAAAACAAACATAAAATCTAATTTTGATTGGGTTTGATGATTATTATATATAAATAAAAAATCATGGCATTAAAAAATTTCAACTTTTGATAATCAAACACAACTTAAAGCCAGCTTGGTATTATGGGTAGGAAAACACAATATTTGTAATAAAATTAATTATTTCATTTAGGGAAAGCAATAAAAACTATTATTTATTATCTTTGTTTATTTGTTGTTTTATTAATATCAAATAATAATAATAATAATAATAATAGTCATGTAACATTCTTTCTGATTGTATAGATCCATTTTTTAATTAATGCAATGTTGTATATACATACTCTTTATTGTTAATAATAGTAGTATTATTATAGTAATATCAACAAGAATATTTGATCTATCACTGGTAAAAAAAATTTTAAATGTTTGTTAAAATGTTAATAATTAAATTTATATAAATTTTTTTAAATTATATCAAAATATTATACAAGCAAATACATATATGATATAATAAATTCAATGCTTCAATATGCAGTAAATCAATTTAATTGTATATACTCTCCATTCACTTGCATTTACTCCATAAGGCAAATGCAGCTTTATTTTTCACCTGCTGAAACAAGATTTACAATTATACATGCACCTATTGCTTGAAGGTGTAGTTTCCAATGTATCTTCTTACATAAATAAAGGAAATTTGACTGAGCCCTTGAATGAAGTAGAAGAATCCCACATAATAGGAGATGAAAAAGTGGAGAAAGATATAAGTGAAGAACAAATAATAGCTTTAGACTTCAAAAAAATGCTTTTGATTTAATTAAAGATTGGTAAATTTTGAAAATAAATTGTGTGCATATGTCTAGACTTTATTCCAAGCTCCAGTTCATATCTAACTTTTGATCTAGCAATGATCTGAATGATCTTAGTTAACGAAACAGTAATGACAAAAATAATGAATATTTCTATTCAAAAAAAAAAAAGATTTGCTACACCAGTTTTTCTTTTCACATATACTCCTTTTTTTCTATTTTAAAACAATTGAAATAGCAAGTTTCACAACATAAAAGATTAATGATTGATTTTGTCACATTTGTTCTGCAACAGTGTCCACTATGCTGGATTTGAAACATTTTGTGCAGCATTTGATGGGTTATAGTGGTATGCACCATAGTACTATGGAAGTTTTGAGGAAAACAGGTTACATGTAACATATTGGCAGTGTTGTGCCATTTATGGTTCCAATAAAATTTCATTGGAGCATTCTAATAAATTCCAATTGGAATTGAAACATTCCAATAGCATTACAATGTTCCAATTGCACAATACTGCATATTGGATGGAACAGATTTTCAGTGAGTAAAATTGAGCAGGCGCAACAGGCATGCATCACATTACACAGCATCTATGTGTCTAAATCATGGATCCCTCCCTACTTTACAACGAATTCATGTGATCAAATTTCCAAAAAAAAGATCTAAATAATAAAATAATAAAAGTACCAGGATTGATAAAAGTGATCAAGCTTGGACCTAGGGTAGTGGACTGTTTGAACAAAAGCCCATTATTGGTTAAATTTCAAAATATCTAATTTCAAACAATATTGAGTTATATTTTCTTGAATAATATTAAGAGTTATTTGATAAAATGTAAATAGCAATAAAGTTTCAAAGCTAAATTCGTTGTAACAAGATTTATTACTGTAACGAATTTCTTGTAGATTATTCTAGATTCGATTTCCATATAGGGTAACATCCCTGACTGTACCACATTTTTTTATACATTGTCAACAATTTCTATTTTGGGAAAGTTGAAAGAATCAAATTTCAAGTTGGCAAAAAAAAATTTGTAATTTCTATTTATTCTAAAGAAAACTAAACATTTTTATATACAAGAAAAATAATTCATTAGCTAAAGTCATTTTCATGTTAGAAATCAAGTAAATCATCAATAATATCAGAATGGATTCTTTGCCAGTCAAAAATTTTGGAATAATAACTCAAATTAATGAAGAAATACATCAACTAGATACTGATAAAGATAATCTTAATGACCAAAATAATAATGATCAAGAAGAATTAGTTGATGGTGATAGACGTGCGACTACTTCACGTTTTAGTAAAGTCTTTGATCCAAACTTTTGGTTGACTGCCTACGAACAATCCAATAATAATTCTAGTGGTGTAGGTGCTCTTACTACTACTAACAACACATCTCAAAAACGGCAAACTATTATTGATTATGATAGCGTGTTGACAGGACCTGATTCAATACGTTTTTCAAAAATTATTGATTTATCACTAATTTCTGATGAGATCAAAGATGAAGATTTGGACCTTACTTTTATAAAATTTTTGGTAAATTTGTAATTTTAAAAATAAAAAAATTTTTCTAAATTATTTATTATTTTTTAATGATTAAAAATTAGTTAAATTTAATTTCAAAGGATGAAATGAATATGCACAAGGAGCCTCGTAATAAGTTATTACAACTTCCTAATGAATATAAACGAGCTTTAATTGTTCAGAGTAGACAGGCAAAAAATCAAAATCAACGACAAAATAGTGAAAATGTTAGTAGGAAAAATGATAATAATAATGATACACAAAATCAAAGACAAGAACAAGAAGAAAATTCAAATGATGTTGTTATTAAAGAAATGGTTGATTCTAAATCAGAACATTCACTTGCTTCATTAACGTTAGATACTGCAAATAAATCCCAAGAGGATTTAACAAAATCATCATTGCCATCATTGTCCAATTCAACAGGATTCCTAAGTTGGTTTGGATTTTCATCATCATCATCATCATCATCATCATCATCATCATCATCCAAGTCTCAAGGAACTCCTACCTATTATATTGAGAAAATAACACAAAAGTATGGATAGATTTTATTTCAAAATTTAATTTCTCTAACGTATGCAAATTTTTATTTATATTATATTGTTATAATAGAAATATTTCATCAAAGTCATTATCTGAAGCATTACAATCTTTAAGAATTACTGTGTCAAGTGAATCATTATCATGGATAAGAGTCTTTTTAAATGGCAAAGGTTTAGAAGCATTAGAAAATATATTAGAAAGTTATACAGTTGATATTAAGAAAAGGTTAACAATATATAAATTTTGTTATTGAAGGGAGATAATAACAATAATATTTTTTTTGTTAACTGAAATTCATATATTAAAATTTCTTTAATATATTAGTCATACAAGAAATAGTGATCATGATGCTAGAGTGCAATCTGAATGTATTAGAATTTTAAGAGTTTTATTGAATACAGAGGTACTAATGATATGTTTTTAGGATTTTATTTATTTTATTTATTCATTAATCTAATTATTTATTTGCATAATAAGCCTGGGTATGACAAAGTACTTAAATCTCGGACATTAATTAGCAGCATAGTTTTCTGTATTAATACACGAAATAATAAACTGAGATCACAAGTGGCTGATATATTAGCAGCATTGTGTGTGATGTCATTAGATGGACATCATCTGGTATTATCGGCCTTTTCAGATTTCAAGCAAATAAATGATGAAAAGTTTCGATTTCAATATTTGATTGAAACATTGAAAGGAACAAATGAAATAGAAGAAGATAGTGTGTCAATGGAATATAAAGCTGCATGTTTAAGTTTGATTAATGCAATAGTAAACTCACCTGAGGAAGTTGAAGAAAGAATGTTGTTGAGAGATGAATTTTCAAGAAGAGGATTAAATGAAGCTTTCATGGTGTATTTTTAACAAGAAATAGCAAAATTTTTTATTGAATTGATTAAAATTATTCTTAAACTGATATATATTTTTTTTTAATAGAATATCAAAAGATCAGATCCACCAGAAAACCTTTTAACACAAATTTATCTGTATGAAGAAGAATATCAAGATGATTTTGATGAATTATATCTAAAGGTTCATGATATAGTAAGAGATTCAAAGTATGTGATTTTCATACTATTATTATAAAAGCATTATATTTTTTTTTCAATGATGCAAAGGTTAATAATTGAAATTTCTTTTTTCATACAGTGATTCATATTCTATACTACTTGGACTTTTAAAACAAGTTGAATTTGATGACTCATTATACTTTCGAGTTCTTGAAACTTTAAAAAATTTACTAAGAATTATATGCAAGGATTTGGAAATGTTTGTATTAATTTATTAAAAAAAATTTGAATGCTTGTTTAGAAAAAGAAAAGGTTCATTTTTTTTTAACGATTCCAAAAAAAATATATTATTATTTAGAAATTCACAAAATGAAATGTGGACAATTATTGAATTATTCGTTGATAGAATTGGTTCATTGAAAAATATTCAAGATGGTAAATGAAATTATTGTTTCTCAAAAAACAAATTAAACATTTTTATAATTTTTTTTATTGGATAATAGAATGGCAATATTCTTTTAATGAGTTTTTATCTTCGATTCAAATTATTGTTGGAAAATTCTCTGTTGTGTCTGGTCATATAAGTGATGAACAAATTGATAATATGAAAATGAAATTAAACAGTTTGGAAAATAATGTGAGAGTTTTTATTTGACATTAATCTTTTATAAAGCATTGATGATTAATTATAAAACCATTAAATCATTCTATATTCTCCAAAAATAATAAGACTACACTAGAAACTACCAACAAAAACTATCCACTAAAGAATCAACATTTTTCGGAAAGTGATAAATTGGCCATTATCAATAATGATCAAACAAACCAATTTATCAATTCATCAGAGCCAACCATAAGCAACATTCTTAAAACTAAACATACATTATCAAAGTCTACTTCAACTACTTCGCTAGAAAAATTATTTCATTTAAAAAAATTTGATAAAGATATTATTAACAACAATGATGATAATAAAAAACAAACTTTAACTAAATCAACATCAACAAGTTCACTAAATGCAATGGTTTTTAATGAATCCACTTCAACTAGCTCTTTATCTAATCGTTCAATTGAAAATAACATTAATAATAGCTTAGTACCAATAACAATAAACAATCTATCAACTTCATTACCAAAAACAACAAACAAGTTATCTTCTTCACTATTTTGTCGTTGATTTTGATTTTTTTCCTGTCTACTCTGAAAAATTAAAGCTCGTTTATATTAAT